TGATGGATGCAGCAAACCACCACCATAGTACATGTATACCTGTGTAACAAACCTGCATGATCTGCACATGTGCCCCAGAACTTAAAGTATAATAAATAATTTTTAAAAACACTGTGCTCAAATAAGGCAAAAGTTGACTGTAACCAATCCAGCTGTTTCTGTACCCTGCTTCTATTTTCTGTACCCTGCTTCTATTTTCTGTACATCACTTTCCTTTTTCTGTCCATTAATTTTATTTGACCACCCAGAAGTGCTCTGAACTTATTCTCATTCTGGGGTCTACCAAATATTCAAGTTGTTCTTTGCTTAATAAATGCTGTTAAATTCAATTAATGTAAAGGTTTTTTTAAAAATACTAGAAACCATTGGCCATTTTAAGCCATGCCATTTTTTCCTTCACTAAATGTTGCTATACATTTGGACATGGTCACCTTAGCTCCTTCCTTGCTTGATGACCCAAATAAAACTAATTTTTTTCATATTTTGGTCATAGTAATTAATGGATAAAGTCACAAGGAAGTTATAAAGTTTAGAAAGTATATTTCATTTGTTATGAGAAATATCTGTGAGGTCATCCTGAGATTGCCAGTTAAAATCTCTGTGCCTCTTTTTCTTCATCTGTTTAGTGGGAATAAGTGATAAAATTACCAAGTTCATGGGGTTTTATTCATGTCACTTAGAAAAGTGCCTGGTGCATATAAATATGAAGAAAATACGTAGAATATAAATATAGTTTTCACAATGTTTGGCACATTGTCAGTGGTTACTAAATGGGAGCAACATATGTTGCTATAATCTATCTCTTTCTTAATTGACATAAATCTTGAAATGTCTTCTCTCATGAAGAAAGTAACAGAAATTTTAAAATAATTTTATTTGACCATTTTTTATTATTCCCCATGATATGATGATTCTCTATAATGATTTGTATGTATGGAAATAATAATCTTTGCTTTTTATTAAAAATAGCATTCAGGGTGGATTATTTTTATCTGAAATATAATTTCCCGTGTTCTTACTCTGGTAAATACTTAATTTTCTTTTAAACCTGTATGACACTCTAAAACACAGTAACTAAATCCTTCCCCTGGGGTCTAATTAATTATATACCATATCTGTATATAAATGTCAAATGTAATTTATTTACTGTAAAATTAAGTGATCTATACAATTGTTAAGATGATCTTCTTACTTGTATTTACCCCATTGTACACTTGGGCATGTTGCAGAGTATATATATTATTTATCATTTAATAATTCAGCATAGTTTATTATCATATTAATAAAGTAATAAAATGAAACCACAAATCTATGAATACACTTACTACCAAATAAAAATATAGTGGAATTAATCAATGATTAAATGAATCTTTACCACCTTTTAGTCTATCAGCCTAAACATTTCCACTGATGTGACATAGGTAATGTTCCCAGAAAATAATTTAGTTAAAATACATATGGAGATAATTAATAATTAATTATAATACCTAATTATCATAAAAATATTATAATTAAGTAATATTACAATTACTTATCATAAAAATATGTTATAATTAATGTAATATTACTTAATTATATGATATCATAGTTAAGCAACCAGTAACACGTGCTTCAGTGTTTAAATTAGTTTGAAATAAGGTGCTATTAAAGTTGTTTAACACTTTTAGGCAAAATGACCAAGAAATTAGTGAAATTTGGGATTAATTAAAATGCTTAGCCATTACCAGTAGAATAGAATAAAATCAGAGTGAAGGGAAAGTAACAAAGTTCTTTATTCATTTCATGCACTATATGACTTTATGATAAATAATGTATATGTGTTTTTACATGTGTATATAAGAGATACTGATGTTAAGTTTATTATATAGTGAATGGGGATCAAATAAGTTTGAAATTAGAGACTATCAAGATTTGCATGATTTTACATGTTATATTTTGAGTAAAGTTGGAACTCTTCATAAGGGCAAAAAAATAAATTATCTTAGTCAATAATTCCTATGCAAAACAGGAAAGGGGCTGGTCAAAGAAGAAAAGTATTTTCTATTTTGTATAAAGACGGCTATATATACTAAATTCTTATGGGTTTTGATAGTAAATAAATAATCAAGGATGAAATATTTGATAATGAAATTGTAATGATAAGAAGAATGTGTCAGCTGTCTCTGTGTATTTTGAGAAATTTTAGAACTTTAGTCATTGTGAATTTAGGAATATGATTCTACACAATTCCATCATGAACAGATGACCCTGTTGTGAACAATACAAAGAGAAATGTACATCTTCCCATTTCACTAAAATGTTTGATTGTAATAAAAACAACCCTAGACTTTCAGTCAATGAACTCGATTAAACATATTGATTCCCAAAATTCTGGGGGGCAATTATTACTAAAGTTAAGACCATTTCCTATAACAATTGTTTAGCTCAATTATTTTTCTTCATCTTCGTGGGTGCATCGGAATTTTTTCTTCTAGCTGCCATGTCTTATGATCGTTATGTGGCCATCTGCAATCCTCTCCATTACACCACCATCATGAACCAGAAAATTTGCACCCTGACTGTCTTTAGTTCGTGGCTGGGAGGATTTCTGACCATTTTCCCATCACTCGTGCTTATCCTCAGATTAGGTTTTTGTGCTTCCAGTGTCATTGATCACTTCTCTGGTGGTGACTATTTCCCCATTTTGTTAATTTATTTTTTATATATATTTTATTGCATGTTAGGTTTTGGGGTACATGTGAAGAACATGCAAAATTGTTGCATAGATATATATATGGCAATGTGGTTTGCTGCCTTCCTCCCCGTCACCTATATCTGGCATTTCTCCCCATGTTATTCCTTCCCAACTCACCACCCCATGCTGTCCCTTCCCTAGTTCACCCCCACAGACACCAGTGTGTGATGCTCCCCTCCCTGTGTCCATGTGTTCTCGTTGTTTAACACCTGCCTATGAGTGAAAACATGCGGTGTTTGATTTTCTGTTCTTGTGTCAGTTTGCTGAGAATGATGGTCCCCATTTTACAACCCTCATGCTCAGACACGTGGCTTTTAGAGATTACTGTTTTTTACTTTGCCTTTGTTACTCTGCTGTTCACCTTGGCATTAGTAATTCTGTCCTATGTATGCATCGTTTGAGCCATTGTGAGAATCCGGTCTGCCAGGCAGAGAAAAAGGGCTTTCTCCACTTGCTCCTCTCATGTGACTGTCATCTCCATCTCTTAAGGGAGCTGCATATTCATGTATGCCAAGCCTTCAGCAAAAGAAAGAGCATCATTGACCAAGGAGTAGCTATTCTCAACACTTCAATCACCCCCATGCTGAACCCTTTTATTTACACCCTGAGAAACCAGCAAGTAAAAAAAGCTTTTAGAGACTTGGCCCACAAAGTAGCATTCTATAGAAACAAATGAAAGTATTTACTAACATGAATGAATGTCATCATGAAGATACAATAAAGGAAAAATAAAATTTTAACTTGTCCACTATCCTCCTATACCCATCTCACAAGTACCTGCAATGCTGAATTCATTTGCCTCAGTTTTCTTTCTTACTTGAAAGTGACTATGTTGTGTCTTCCTCTAAAACTCTATAGGTTTCTTGTAATCATTGATTTCCAATTTTGGTTAAAAAACCAGTGGCTATAGAACATAAATCACCTTGTTGATTATTCTGAATAATAAAAATGGTTTATACCTTAATGACTTAAAGAAGTAAACAGTTTTAATCAACTTACTCTTAAAATTTCTCTTCTTGGTTACTAATGATATATGAAATGATATGTGAAATAAATTAAATATCTGCAAGAAACTTCTTTTGCATGCAGTATCTGTCCAATTCTTCCCACTCATCTGATGGACTTAAGTACATATTTTCCTACTCACAAATAATTTGAGGTTCATAATATTTTCTGTTTTCTAATTATGCTGAAGGTATGCACTATGTCTAGTTTATATGTTCCCCTTATTCATCATGTTTTTGTTTTTGAAAATGTATAAAAAGATAAATATTTAGGCAGCCATCATTGCTCTTAGGCACTCTGAGAGTCTGATAGAAATTTCCTAAATAGTAATAGCTCCTCTATAGAGAGTACTTATTTTTTTCCATATGCTGGGGTAGGTATGTTCTATCCCGTATCTTATTTAATCTTTATAGCTACCTGGCAAAATAGACATGGTTATCTGCTTTGTACAATTGTATAAATTGATGCTCAGAAAAGTTGTATAATTTGCCTAAGGTAACAGTTACAGTAGATAACATAGTAGCCTGTTTTAAGAAACAAACCAAAAAACTAGTCTTTGCTCTATATTTACACATAGTGGAAACTCCACTAGGGTCTGAAAATTTTGCATAGCTTTTCCTAAGAATATACACAATTTTATTTCCTTTTTCAGTAGCATTATCTCATTTGGGCATGATTATACTATTATAGTCTAGAAAGACACCAACTTCTAAAAACATATTTGGTATATAAATTGTAATATTAATCAATCAGTGCAGGAAACTCTTCAACTGCCCTTGCTGGTGAGCAATACAGTGAGCAGAGGAAAAATAGTGTAAAGCGTGAGCAGTATTACAGTAGTAAACGTTATCAGAAGGCAGATTAAAAATAATGGGGGTAATGAACGTGTTTAGGACAATGTAGTAGTTTCCCAGTTTTAAAAATGGCATAGACTATTGAGTAGAGATCTGCATTAGGAATTAAGATATTTGATTGCTATCTCTATATGACAAATAATGTCAAGGGGAAAAATCTTCAAACTTAGTATTATTTGTTTGTTGTTATTTTCTTTTCTGTCTCATTGGACACTGTCCCCCAAGCTTCTTTTTCCACTTCAAATACTAATGTGTATTATGTTTCATATTCCTTAGTGTTTTGTGTGTATTTTTCTTCCAACAATTTCGATTCATGGAATTGGTCCCCTTGAGCCAGTGGCAGAGAGACTAGATAAAACATAAAGTACCTTGTGCCATCTAACATCAACGTAGAAACCATCCAGACAGTCCTAAAACACTTTCAGATACTTTCTCTATTTTATATTTTTGCTCCTTTCTCGCCCTCTACTATCAAAGAAACATATCCCCTCTGGATAAAATGGGAAAATGAAGGCAAAAACATTGAAAATAGGAAGAAAATATGTTCAGTGAGAAAGTTAATGTTTTCAGACATCCTGGTTTTAGTGGATAGCAATGGCATTTGCCAACATTTTTACTAATCCAGCCATTCTGAATGTTAGTGAAACTATATGAAAATCAGAGGTAAGTAAAATTTTCATGGAAGTCTCTCAAATCACAGCACTGTATCATTACTTAACAGCTCAACTTTTAATCAAAGTAAATAAGTGTTATGCTTTGAAGTTTGACATATTAAAATGTCTAAAAAGGATTAGCAAGTCCTGTTATATCAGTTTATTCGTTCTCTAATAATTAAAAGCAGGAAATTACTATCTCTGTCTCTGTGTGTGTGTGTGTGTGTGTTTTTTTTTTTTTTTTTTTTTTTTTTGTGGGTGTTTTTTTTTTTTTTTTTTTTTTTTGAGACGGAGTTTCGCTCTTGTTACCCAGGCTGGAGTGCAATGGCGCGATCTCGGCTCACCGCAACCTCCGCCTCCTGGGTTCAGGCAATTCTCCTGCCTCAGCCTCCTGAGTAGCTGGGATTACAGGCATGCACCACCATGCCCAGCTAATTTTTTGTATTTTTAGTAGAGACGGGGTTTCACCATGTTGACCAGGATGGTCTCGATCTCTTGACCTCGTGATCCACCCGCCTCGGCCTCCCAAAGTGCTGGGATTACAAGCGTGAGCCACCGCGCCCGGCCTTGTCTCTGTATTTTTAATCAAATATAGCTATATAGTACTGTGCTTAAGAGAACAGATTTTAAGCCTAAGTAGTCTGAGATTATATTTAATGTTTGCTAGCCACGTGTATTAAGTTACATAATTTCTTTGAGCCTCAGCTCTTCATTTGGGAAGAAGGATAAAAACTTAACAAGTATGTTACAAAGGCTAAATGAAATAAAGAAAAGAAGTCTCTAGTTTAGAATAGATAGTGCCTGTAATAAATCACAACTACTATGAATATTTTCCCCAAATTAATTTCTAGTAAACGAAAAATAAATAATATAGCTATTCCTAGAGACTACTAAATGATGCATGATTTATGGAACACTTATTTATAGTATTTCAATTAATTCTCAAAAACACCCTTGAAATTTCAACTCTGTTTTAAACAGGGAAAGCTGAAGTTTAAAGAAATTAAGTAGCTAATCCAAAGCCACAAATCCATTAAATGTCTCATTTGTATCTGTCTAATGTTAAAGCCCATATTCTTTCTGTGATAATAAATTGGCTTTATATGTCATAAATAAGAAATTAATAGTGTGTTAATACCACAATTTTCTGTTAATTTATTTCCTTTTCCTAGCTTGTTTAAATTATAAATGGGCTAGTTAATGAACTGAAGGCCTGAGTTTATGAGTGTTTATTTTCCAGAAACCTTTGCAGAAATCAGTGTTACTATTTATGAATTATTATTAAGTGTGATTTGGCGACATCTCTTTTCCTTTTATTTGCTTCTATACACACTTGTATGAAGGTTGAAAATTAAAGCTGTCCATCATTATTGAAATGAAGAAATATAAATTATTCATATTTCTCCAAGGAAACGGTTGTCTATACTTATTATAAAAACAGTAAAAAACAAATCTAATAAAATAATTATTTCAGCCACTCGATGAATTTTCCTGAAGAACTTCTGTTTTATTCAGGCCTAGAGAAGTTCTCAAAGTAACCCTTGTGCCATGGCCCACAGGCTGGAATGACTGAATAGTACCAAAGTGTATTTTAGTATAATTATAAAACTGAGCTATGTATTGCCCACAACATTGAACTAGACAATTTTCTTTTTCATTAGTATATTAACCTAAACTCTAAAAAAATCTTAAAATTTATAAAGTTTAAAAAAACCAGGATGATACTATTAATATAGTTTTTGATGATACACTGGGAAATTTTTGCAGTTATCTCTATTAAGGTGAAGAAGAAAGAACTGAGTAAACATAGAAAATTTTAAAAACTAGATTTTCAAAGTATTTGCATTACTAGGGGAGGTCTGAACTCGGTGTAACAATACATTATTAAAAAGTACACAGACACACAGACACGCACGCACACACACACGTACACACAGAGAGAGAAATAAAATGGAACCAGTCAGTCTCTTATCTCAGTCTCTTAAAGGCACATTCCTAGATTCTTCAAACTGATTTACTCTCTAATAGTCCCTTTCTTACCATGTACATCAAATAATTGCCAATATTCAACCTAGTTTATTTAAAGGGTCATCATTAATATTTACTTGATGGCAGGGCAAGTTATGTGGTTATTTTAAAAAGCTCTGAAGATGCTTTGTAGCCATTTTATTTAATAAATATTAAACATCACTGTCAATTTTCATTTTAAATGGCTCAAAGAATCTGTTGCAGGAATCTTTAGAAGACAAATAAGTAATTTTGTTGAAATGGTGGAAGGAAATAAAAACTTAACAACCTAAGCCATATTCTCCCAGGAGAAAATATGGATTTGTATTCAGATATAAAAGCCCAAGATGAGTTAAATGCTTGGAGCTATTCCTCATTATCTGTATAATATGTCCTGAGATCTTTAGATTCTCTAGGATCGATTGCAACTGGTTAAACATTGAGGTTCAATCCTCTCAAAGGACTATGGATACTGATAAATTTTACCAAGCTTATTTCATGTTGGCAAATGAATACAATTCATTAAAGTTTCATAACATTTCTACAAAAAAGCATAATATACCACACCCAGTTCTTATTATTGAATCACATACTACTAGAGTTTCTTTAAGCCTGTTTCCATTGTCTTTGAAGACCAGCTATAGAAGTGTCTATTTTTTTGTGAAGTCCCTCATGAACCCTTTAAGTAACAAATTACACCCTCCCTCACAGCTTTTCCTACGTTTCCTCACAGCTTTCATCTGAAGCAAAAGACTGAGTCATCGTATTGTTATTGACTAAAGAGTTAAAAATTAGCAGAGAATTTAAGAGAAAAAATAGATATACAAAAAAAGTTGAAATAAGGTGAATAACACAGTGCATTGATGCATCATTCACTGTGTACCAGTAATAATATAATACATATTTTTAAAAGCCTGAGTCTCTCATGTCAGTAAGTTGCTGAATAAACTTCAATCTTCAGATTGAATCCAAATCTTGTATATTTGATATGAATGTATTTTGTGACTTCAAAGTATTACAAAAAGCTCATGTTTTTAATAAAAAATAAACCCTGATGAAATAAGAGTGATGTTGCTGGAGCTGGAGTAAAGTAAATTGAAATGATTAATAGTAAAAAAATTTAAGGACGGTAATATAGAAATACTGATTCTTGAAGTTTTCTTTAAACTTATGTATCAATGAAGTGTTGTTCCCTTGACATATCTTAGGTTTAAAATTTAGTCAATACAGGAAATTTAATCCAAATATGTAAATGGTAAAATATGAAAGAAAATACTTCTACACGGTAAAATATGTAAGAAAATACATCTTGTAAAACAAAGATAAAAAACTAAGTAACATCCAGGCTGGAATATCAGCATAAAATAGCAAACTGCACTGACGGCAGCATATGTTGAAATAACAAACTCAACATTAATTAATTAATTAACTGGGTGAGTATTTCCTTTAAACCTACAAAACTATAGTAAATACTGGATTATGTTGAAGTAGCTTTGAAGATAAGATACTCTTCTAACTCTCAAGAATGCATAGAGTAATGGAGGACTTAACAGGAGATTTCAGCCTGTTGTAACTGTGATGAGTAGGGAAGAATGAGCATAGGTTCTCATGGAATGCAACAATGGGTATTAAACCTAGTGTTGTAGAAATAAGGACAGAGGTAATTTGGGATGTCATTACAATATATTACCCACAATGCTAGTGTGCTAGTATGTTTATTTATGTAAATATGTATATACACACACACATACACACATAAATACACATGCACACTTATACATAACATATATGCACATATAATTTACTGCAGGCTCCAATCACTTTCAGGAGGGTTATTACTAATGAAGAGCAGGGAAAATAACTGGCTATGAGTAGCAATGTTGACAAGCTATGAACATCACAATGATCAAATCCTGGTTGAAGATAATGGAAGTGGAGCATGTGTGTATATGTGTTTGTGTGCATGTGCAATGTGTGTGTTTGGTCGTGGTTATGTGGTGGAAGAGGCAGATACACCATGGTGGGAGAGGTCAGCACCATGTAGACAAAGAAGAGCAAAGATTTACTTGCCTAGAATGCCTGACAGGTACTGTGCAACCCAGTGACTTTTTTCCTTTTTTTGTTGTTGTTGTTGTTGTTGTTGTTATTGTTCTTATGTGACTCTCTTGGTGCCAAATATAATTATTACTATATATTTTAGACATAACCTTTTGGACAGGACACCATCCCATTCCCAAGGATTTTCAGCTCAATGGTTAGGAAATACTTTCTCCATAGAACAAAGCCTCACACTGCTTTCACCTTAGCATTTAGAAAAATTATAAGTTTATATATTAAATTACATAAAAGTTATTAAGTTAATATCTATGAACTTAATGCTCAAAACAACTCTGATAGACTTGTATACAGTGGAAGAAACTATTTATAGGTGAGGGTACTGAGACACAGAAGCGTTAAGTGGTTTTCAGACGTAGTAAATAGATTGGATTCAAAACTAGATAACCTCACTCTTTTCTATAGAAATGTTTATAATAATGTCATTTGAGCTTTATTCTTAAAAAGAAATAATTAAAACTTACTATTTCAAAGTATGAATAAATAAATCTTCTTGGAGAATACTTATCTATCATCTCTTTAACTGATGGCATCCTTCTCAAGTTAATAATATTTTATTATTTATTTATTTCAACTAGAAAGCAAAATGGCTTCTACAGAAATAAAAGTCATAAAATGACACATAGGTAGGCTGAAGTATCGTGAAATATTGCAAGGGATTCACATGCAATAAACTTCAGTTTTGGGCTCTTTCAGCTTACGTTATTCTATATTTCTTCCTTCCCTCTATTCCAAACATCTGAAGTTGTTCATGGCAATGGCTTAAGTATTTCTGACTTCTAATAAATTGGACATGGAAGTTGGAAAATCTGAAAATTCACAGAAGTTAATTGATGGCATTAAGGTTAAATAAAATATGAAGACAAATCTCTAAAATTTTAAAACATCTTAGTTGATAAGCAAAAACTTCAACTCAAGGCATACACATAGGCCGAGTGGTTTTTCAGTATTTCCAAAGAACAAATAGAAGGTTAGAAGTTGTTTACGGGAGCTGGCAAGCTTTGACTGGTAAGCGAAAGCATGAGTAAAACTATCCGTAGGATCACAGCAGGTGATTTCAGCAGCTATTAGATAACACTGATTTCAGGCTATAGCAGGCAACTTCAGCAGTCAGGCTTACACAGAATTACGTTCTTAGGGCAATATTGTGTGCCCTGTGTGCTTTATGCCCCTGGCATCTTGACCCTGTGTTAGTTGGGTGTGACAAAAATGACTCAACCCAATCCATACAATCAACTTTCACAATGGCTAAGGACAAAGCACTCATTTTAAAAAAGAAAACTAGTCCAGGCTTGGGGGCTCACACCTGTAATTCCAGCACTTCGGGATGGGTGGATCACCCGAGGTCAGGAGTTTGAGACCATCCAGACCAACATGGCCACACTCCGTCTCCACTAAAAATACAAAATTTAGCCAGGCATGGTGGAAGACACATGTAATCCCAGCTACTCAGGAGACTGAGGCAAGAGAATAGCTTGAACCCACGAGATGGAGGTTGCAGTAAGCCAAGATTGTGCCACTGCACTCCAGCCTGGAGGACAGACTCCACCTCAAAAAAAATAAAACAACTAAAGTATCTTCCCCACATTGAGAATTATCAAGGTAATCAAACTTTTACATAAACAGAAACCTTATATAGAGATTGGTGTAAGGACACAAAGGTGGTTCTGATTAGGAAGGAAACTTGTAGGCATGTCTCTGAAAGATAACAGGTATTACATGGAGTCAGAAAAGTCTGGTGTCAGACTCCTCCTTACGACTTCCAACTGTGATAGCAAGTTTTTTTATTTTTTTTATTTTATTTATTTATTTATTTTTTTTTTTTTGAGACAGAGTTCCACTCTTGTTACCCAGGCTGGAGTGCAATGGCGGGATCTCGGCTCACCACAACCTCCGCCTCCTGGGTTCAAGCAATTCTCCTGCCTCAGCCTCCCAAGTAGCTGGGACTACAGGCACGTGCCACCAAGCCCAGCTAATTTTTGTATTTTTAGTAGAGACGGGGTTTTATCATGTTGACCAGGATGGTCTCGATCTCTTGACCTTGTGATCCACCCACCTCGGCCTCCCAAAGTGCTGGGATTATAGGCATGAGTCACCGTGCCTGACCTCAAGCTTTTAGTTTTAATCTGCCTAATGTGAAGAGTTTTCACCTGTATAAGAGTGGAAATTAAAGGACCACTGTTATCATCAGGTGGCATTAAATTTCCCCTTGAAGTAGAAAGGGCATACTATGTCAGCCAAACTCCAGCTCCGTATTTGGATATTTGTTCATCCACAACTCTTCAAGTTTGTTCTTTGTGCTTTCTCCTATAGGTCTGGTAGGAAAGAAGTAATAAGCATCTGAAGGATGAGAAACCATACAGAAATAACAGAGTTCATTCTTCTGGGGTTGACAGATGACCCAAAGTTCCAGGTTGTGATCTTTGTCTTTCTGTTCATCACCTATATGCTCAGCATCACTGGGAACCTGACCATTATCACACTCACCCTGCTGGATTCCCACCTGCAGACCCCCATGTATTTCTTCCTCAGAAATTTCTCCATATTAGAAATTTCATTCACGACTGTCAGTATACCCAAGTTTCTGGGTAACATTATTTCAGGAGATAAAACCATTTCCTTCAATAATTGCATAGCTCAGTTATTTTTTTTCATTCTCTTGGGAGTCACAGAGTTTTATCTTCTGGCTGCCATGTCCTATGACCGCTATGTGGCCATCTGTAAACCTCTGTATTACTTGAACATCATGAATCAAAGAGTCTGCACACTGCTTGTTTTTACTTCTTGGCTGGTTTCATTCTTAATCATATTCCCAGCACTCATGTTGCTTTTAAAGCTTGATTACTGTCGGTCTAATATTATTGACCATTTTACCTGTGATTATTTTCCCATGCTGCAACTTGCTTGTTCAGACACAAAATTCCTAGAGGCGATGGGATTTTCTTGTGCTGTGTTTACTCTGATGTTCACATTGGCATTAATATTTCTGTCCTACATATACATCATCAGAACAATTTTGAGAATTCCTTCTACTAGTCAGAGGACAAAGGCCTTTTCCACATGTTCTTCCCACATGATTGTCATCTCCATCTCCTATGGCAGCTGCATTTTTATGTACATCAAATCCTCAGCAAAAGATAGAGTGTCCTTGAGCAAGGGAGTGGCAATACTAAACACCTCAGTAGCCCCCATGCTGAATCCCTTTATTTACAGCCTGAGAAATCAGCAAGTCAAGCAAGCTTTCATTAACATGGCAAGGAAGACTGTATTTTTCATAAGCACATGAAATGGTTTGTAGTGATGAATTAGTCAATAAAAAACTGAAAATTATTATTTTTAAAAATCTAGTTACATTTCAAGATGTGTAATTAGTTTTGATTATTTGACTTTGGTCAAATATTGGTATTTCATCATTACCAATGCATTAATTGTTTTAAAATTCCTGAAAAATGAAACGTAAGTGAATTTAATATAATAAACTGTGTGTTAAGTTGGTGAAATAACCACCTGAACAGGATTATTCCAACTGGTTTTAAATACATCAATTGGTCTGTACTTCCATGTGGGATTTAACCTAAGGGCACAAAGAGAAGAGCTGAAAAAAAATCTGAAACTGTTCTCAGGAATGACATTATGGGTGGCAGTGGCATCATTGTTATTCTAATACTGTTGTATGAGCAATGTGAGGAAAAGAAAAAAATGAAAATTTATGTGATAGCCAGGATTCTCACTATGAGAGAAAGAAGACACAAATGGATGAAAGATAGAAGGGATTATGTAAAAATCATGTAGTCCTAAATTTGAAAATATTAACATGTTTTTGTGACGCAGGACCTAGAAAGAAATTACTTAGGTAGTAGGGGTAAAAGAGTCCCTGGCAAGGTTTCCCTTTTAATAAAAAGCAGCCCCCAAGTCATTTCTTTTCTCACAAAGAGCAGCCTGAAAAATCAAGCTGCAGACATAGAAACTCAGGCTCCATGCCTGAACAGGTGAATGCCAGCCACTGTGCCAATGGGAAAAGGCTACCTGGGGACCAGGCATATTCAACATGGCAGCCCCATCTTCCCTTTTGTTTGTCAACCACATGTACAGTAAAGAAGCAGGCAACATGGCCAGATAGAGAAGCCATCTGCATAATAAAAGATTAGGGTGAGGAGACCAGCTTCTTTGTGCGCTATGCAAATGACACATGTGGTCTGACCAAATTCTCATCCTCTATGTAAATCAGACACTGCTTCCTCAGGCTCATCTGTAAAACCCTGTGCATTTCACCATGAGGCCAGAAGACGCATTCAGGAGCCCCTCTCTCTGCAGGAGAGGGAGATTTTCTCTTTCACCTATTAAACCTCCCCTCTTAATCTCATGCCTTGTGTGTCCACATCCTTGATTTCCTTGATATGAGGCAACAAACCTCTGGTATTACCCCAGACAAATAATGTTGTTTCATTAGTATGCACTTGTAAAGATTTTTTAAACTACCTGTTGTCCAAAGAATATTGTATGTTTAAAAAATAAGTGTGCTTGTCCTTTCCACTGAAAATACCTAGAAAAGATGATCAACTTCATGGCAGTTATTATAACTAGTGCTCAGATTCTTAACTTGATTTAATATTTTCCAATCAATGCAAAGAGGACTTTTTGGAGAAATGGTTGATTCTAGATGTAATACAGGAACATATAAGTAACATGAGCCTGTAAAAATATATTGCTTAAGAAGGAAGCAATCTAAAAGTATAATGTCCATTAGAGTCAGAAGCCAACTTGAAGACTTTCTCCCTGGCTAAATAACTCCAAAGAGGTAGGGATGTTAATTTAAATCTTCCTTGAAATGCATATGTCAAACACTAACATGACCTAAAGCTAATACAAAATTGTGATTCTGACCGGGTGCGGTGGCTCATTCTGGTAATCCCAGCACTTTGGGAGGCTGAGGCGGGTGGATTGTGAGGTCAGGAGATCGAGACCATCCTGGCCAACATGGTGAAACTCCACCTTTACTAAAAAAAAAAAAAAATACAAAAATTAGGTGAGTGCAGTGGTGCATGCCTATAATCCCAGCTACCCGGGAGGCTGAGGCAGGAGAATCGTTTGAACCTGGGAGATGGAGATTGAAGTGAACCAAGATTGTGCCACTGCACTCCAGCCTGGTGACAGAGTGAGGTTCCTTCTCAAAAATAATAATAATAATAATAATAATAATGATTCTATGAGTTTATAATGATATCAACAAAAAGATACTGGAGAATCAATTTGGAATACTGAATGAAAAGCAAAGTAAGCTTTTATCTGAGATTTTCTATACAATTGTAAAAATGTACAAGGAAATGGTAAATGTTAGATTAAGAAGATAATCATTTTGTAGCACATAGTGAACAAATGAATCCAGCCATTGGTCACCAATTAAACCACCACTGCAAGATTATAACTGAGACAGTGAAGGGGATCTGACCTAGCCAATTCCATCTTGCTTTTAACCTCCAGGCTGTCCTTGTTCATTCTGGGCGACTCAACTGACTTTGGGAGGAACTTTGTTTTCCAGAGCAGACCTTCTGCTTGCCTGGGGACTAGACTGCCTTTGTAGAACTTACGAATTAGCCACAAGATTCGCAATTATGTTTAGGAGTCATGGAGCTGGAGGCTACAGGATTGGACCCTCTCTAAACTACTCCTAAGATAGTGCTTGAGATATTTTGTAGACCCTGCACTTGATAGATCAGCTGGCACCACCCAGATCTATAAAGTGGCTCATCTGATCTTGTGGTCCCTACCCAGAAACTGACTCAGTGTAAGAAAACAGCTTCCACTCCCTGTGATTTCACCTTGGTCCTGACCATTCAGCACTCCCAGCTCACTAGCTTTTCCCCACCCACTTAGTTATCCTTAAAAACTGATTCCGCACCTTGGGAGGCCAGGGCAGGGGGATCACCTGAGGCCAGGAGTTTGAGACCTGCCTGGCCAAAGTGCTGAGACTCGGTGTCTACTACAAATGCAAAAATTAGCCTGGCGCGGTGGTGCACGCCTGTAGTCTCAGCTGCTTGGGAGGCTGAAGCAGGAAAATCGCTTGAACTCTGGAGGCAGGAGGTTGCAATGACCTGAGATCCTACCCCTGCACTCCAGCCTGGGTGACAGAGGGAGCCTCTGTCCCAAACAACAGCAATAACAACAACAAAAAACTCTGATCCCTGAATCCTCAGGGAGACTAATTTGAGTAATAATAAAACTCCAGTCTCCTGCACTGCCAGCTCTGCGTGAATTACAGAATTTATTCTTTGGCTATTGCAGTTCTCCTGCCTTGATACATCGGCTCTGTCTAGACAGCAGCAGGTGAACCCATTGCATGGTTACGCTAATAGCTGCTAATGATTTTGGATTAGTTTTGAAAGGGAAAAAAAGCCTAAACCTAAACCTCGATTAAGCCTTTAAATCTGAATAGCAACAACAGAATATTAATAGGACAAGGATGCCATCAAGCGAGGCATTACTGCATGTTTCCCTCCATGAATAATGATGAAATTTCCTGCGTATTATTGAGCTTTTATAATAAAAACATAACATCATTTTTACAATAGTGACAAGTGATCAATAAAAATTAAGTGGTTAAGGGTAATACTCCCTATGATGCGGAAACATATCTGCCAAAATGTTCTTAGGGATGTGCCTTTATAATAGTAAAATAATTCACAAATTTGCATTCCAGCTGTGATTGATATAGTTCTGTATTGGCTAGTGTATTATTTTTTAATGCAAAAAAAAGTATATCAAAAATCACATTATATGTCTTAAGTATATAGTCGTTTTGATTTCTTAATTATATCCCAATAAAGATGAAAAAGATAAAACTATTTAATCATATAAATTTATTATTGTGTTTGTATACATTAAATATACATTTTATAACTCTATTAAAACATATAATGCTTATTTTGTGTTAAATAATCTGTATTATATAATATACATTGTTAATTTAAATTATATATTAAATATATGGCTTATCTGATTACATGTTTTTATGCCAAAATATTTGGGAAACATAAAGAACATTAAAGAGAATAATTAGTTATAATTCACTAACCAGAATTTCACATAAATAAGAGCATATTTTGTGGTATTTCTTATTAGAACATTGAAGGGATAATAAATATATAGGCCAAGATGAACAATAAGATGGACAAATTGACACCGAAATTAAATGTTGCAATTTATAATGAAAATTGAATTCGTTAACCTGATAGCATTTTTTAAAAACTTGTGAGCTCAATACTTGCATTATAATAGTTATTTTTTACTTAGCATTATGAAATAACCTTTTGCTTCTTTATGCCCTAACACTTAATAAAGCCTAAAGATAAAAAACAAAACCTATATAACAGACCTGCACATTCTGTACATGTACCCCAGCACTTAAAGTATAATTTAAAAAAAATGGGATATGTAGAGAACTTTCTATCTTAAAAAGATGATTAAATACCAATTAGATTGAGCTCTAGTTTTGTTAAGAAAGTAGATGTCATAGCTATTTTTATTACTCATGAAATATTAAGTATGCATAAAATATTGATTATAATAATGGAAGTAAATATTTCACAGAAGACAGTATTTGAGGTCTCCTGTGGGCTAAAAGACGAACCTAATCACTCTCAAGGGAGATCAACTATAGCTAAGAGTTAGGAGGCTACTGAGAAATCCAAAGGCAGCTTCCAGAAATCTCTCATGGTCTATAACACAACAGAGATGTGGCCTGGACTTTGCTTTGTTCCCAGGAGATCAAATCTTTCAAGTTCAAAACAAAAAACTTGAAATATTTTAGATATAAGTACAACCGGAGGAAAGCCAGATACCACAATCTAACTCATAATACTCAATGTGTCATATATTCACCTGTTTTCTCTTTAGATGTTATTTTTTGAACTTCTAGCTCAACATTATTGCAGAGGAATAGAATGTATTCCCACAACTTCCAAAGGTTTTCAGCATTCCACTTTTATTTTTCAAAATATTTATTTATTAAAAAACAAATAAAATAGAATTTGATTAGTGTGAATTTTGGTAGTGTTCAGAGGAGAAGCAATAATTTTATATTCTATCCTTTACAGCAGAAATTTGATTATCTAAAATATGGATGACAACTTTCAGGATTTTAGCAGAACCCATCTGTAGAATAGAATATCCAGCAATGTTTGAATAGCTGGAAATTGACTGGGTAGAATGAGAGAGGATTTCCTATACAATTCTGGATATCCTTACGAACGAATGATTGCATAAGGATGAACGGTCTTATGTGGGACAAAATTTACTAGGAAATAAAACTTTTTTTCATAAAGCATAATAGCTCAGGAAGGAAGATTTTTCAAACAGAAGATGCACTAACCTATAATCCAAGTGAGAGAGCTGCCGAGATCTAAGGCAAGTAGTTACTTTTCCAATTTATGCTTCAGAGCAAAATGAAAA